TCGAGTTGCCAGTTAATTGCCAGCAATTAATAATCTTGCCGCGTTAATCGACGATCTTTGGTCCGAGCGAGATCGCGGACATAATCGATATTAACTGACACGTTAAGTTTCCTTGCGCGATCGCGTTGTCCAACTTGTCATCGTTGATGATTCTTGCCTCTTGAATCAATGATTCTTGCCTCTTGAATCAATGATTCTTGCCTCGCGATTAGCAAATACGTGGCACGTTCTTCTGCTCACTTTTATTCTCAATGTCTAAAAACTCGTCACCGCGTTGCCCATCGACATTGGGATTTCCAGGCGAAAGCAAAGGGGAACAGTCATCGAAATTCTATTAAATCGAGTTTCGTCGCATGGATCGTTGCCAACTATTAAAATGCGCACGCATTCTTCGTGCGGTCGTTAATTTCGAGTCGGACGAACGATGACTCGTTCTCTTTGTTCAGGACGCGTTTCGCTCGAATAGAATGATATGCCGCGTAACAGCAGAACGGCATATAAAGCTTATTCAATGAAAAGAGCTCGGTCGTAGGCCGCATAGTTAACTATATAATTGACGCGCGCCATTATCCTCGTTGATCGTATCGATTCGTCGAATAACAGAGCTAGCGCGTATCGTTGAATATCTTAATCGCGCTTAACACTCGAAATGAAGGAGCACAGTCATCGTGATCGTGTCCCGATGCTCTTTATTCGGTTTATTCGCAAGAAAACTCGTCGTACTCGATCACCTCGCGAATTTTATTAACCTTTCATGCCTCGGTAACTTATCCGCTAATAATTAAACTACGGACGTTCACGCGTGTTAAATATGTAAAAAGCATTTGACATTTATGCACATGGAGTATCGGACTAGCGGCTAACTATACACGATGAGAGAAAGAGATTATTTTATTTTTATCTTTGTCGGCCTACTTAACGCCAAGGTAAAAATTGTAATGGGATCTTTAGTGAGGATCGATGAATGGAGAAGTTATAATAGGAATACCGTCCAACTATAAAGAAAGACAGAACAATTACAAGGAAGCGAAGAATCTCGACTTTCTACTCGTGTAACGAATTTCGATCTCGTAATTCGATATTTTTAACGGCGAAGCACGACAGAATTTGTATACCGTGTACGTCACTGTCGTTTAAAGAGTAAATTAAAATTCAATTATGCCTTCGACACCCACGAGGTTCGATCAATTTTCGTTTGCGAATAAAAATATGACGTTCATAGATGATATCACGAATTCGAACGAGGCCATTCAACCAAATAACATTCGCTTAACGTTCCACGATTTCTCTCAATTTCAGCTCCTGAGATTCTGCACTACGAGCCGATCACGTTAGCCGCCGATATGTGGTACGTAAACGATAGAGAACGCGGTCGAGAAATTTTCTGAAAAAAACGACCTACAGACGAATCCATGAAAAATAGTAATCTTGGTCTTTTTTCCCAGAAAGTTTCCCAATTATGTAATTCTTCGATCATGTACGAATAACGTTATTCGATTGAAGGTCCGTGGGTGTGACGACTTACGTTCTTTTAACCGGATTTTCTCCATTCGGCGGTGAAACCGATCAAGAAACGTTTCAAAACATCTCTCTAGGCGAAGTAGATTTTCCCGAGGAATTGTTCGGCGACATCTCGGCGCAGGCGAAAGATTTCGTCGCGAAGCTTTTGGTGCTGGACCCGAGGTGAGTTACAAAACGTAAAAACGATGGAAAAGATGGCTAAGAGGGCAATACAAAGGCGAGAAACGTCGTTCTGATCCTTCGATCTACAGGCGTACGCGATTTCTTGCTTCAAGCCTTGATCAAATATTTAAAGTCACCCTGTTTATTGAAATATTAACAATTATTCAATTATCAACAGTACTTATTGTTAGTTGCGTTCCTACTCGAGAAAGAAATACGTAGATATTAAGATAAAACCACTGTCTTATATTTTAGCGCACGAATGACCGCGAAACAATGCCTGCGTCACGATTGGCTACGCGGCGCGCCTACGCAGGCGTCGCCACATCTCCGAAGATACCTGTCGAAGTCGAGAGAAGTGCTTCTGGAGCGAGTTGTCAGTCGCGAGAATCTGCGAAGAGCGGCGCTTTTGAGCCAGGCGAGCAGTCAGGCGAATCTATCGAGCGATGTTCAGGACTCGAATCATTCCGATCAGAGCTTGCAAGACTGTTTGCTAAGTCAAAGCGAGATGTGCCTGAGTCATCGTCTCACGGGAAGCCGATCTAGTCTCGAGGGTAGCGAAGATTTCCCAAGTCCAGCCGATTCTCGAACGAGTCTCAACTCTTCCAGAACGAATCTTAGCTGCACCAGCCAGAGTTGCTTGCTGAACAAAGAACAGACCCAGGGATTGCTCAGTCGAGCGCAAAGTCGGTCACAGGCGAACTTAAATCACGGTCTTAGTCGAGGACTTTTGTCCAGAATACGAAGCCTAAATCGAATCCAGTCACAGGCGTGTTTGCTCAATGAAAACTCTTCCGCAACCTCGGCTTCTTTACAACCGCGAATGACGATAAATCCTGTGATGAACAAGTCGCGGGAGAAACTGTACGGGCTGAGATCGTTGTCCAAGTCTCAAGGAGTTTTGGACATCTACAGAAGCCTCGAGTGTCTCAGACGGAGAAGGAAGAGCTACCAACGAGCCAAAACAGAGGATGTGGTACCCATCTTCAAACGATTAGGTGCTGAAATCGATACGTCCAACGTATCGGACACGTCGATCGAAACCACGTGCGACACCGGAGAACACCGATCCTACGATGATGTTTCCAGTTTAACGGAGACGAAAAAACATTTGGATGGAGAGAGCAAAGAATGTTCGCGGAAGACCGCGACAGAGTCGGAAGTCATGCAGCAAGTTAACAATCGATCGAGAAAAACCGAGCTGCAAGAAGAAGTCGCGAAAGATCTGCAAGCATCGAGGGAACAAGCTTTCGAGTCTGAGGAGAATTTCGATTCGTTGAAGTCGATCGAATCGGATACGTTAACCGAAGATTCGGACGAAACACCGGTGAATCGCGATAACGTGTCGAATCTGGTGGCCAGAAAACGACCCTGTCAACGACAACATTCCGACGTTTCGAGTCACTCCAACAATTCCGGCACGTCGGACGACAAAGAGGACCGATCGACCGAGTCCGAAAATGAGGAGCCAAAGTACACCGTGGCGCAGCTCGTATCGGCGTTTAACAAGCACCAGGAAGTCGCCTCGAGGTCGAGTTTGGAAGCGATAATGACCGAGAAAAGAGTGAACGAAGTCACTTTTCCTACCGGCACAAAAGCTTTGAGGTTATTCATTCCGGATATCAACATCAGCGAAAGCAAGATCGTTAGACGGAAAACGAGTTACAAGCCGAGGAAGAATTGGGAGGAGTTGAGGAAGAAAAGCGAGAAAGACGAGGGAATATTGAAGAACTTGGTCGATTCAGGTAACGAGGACGAAAACGAGGATAACGACGTTGCTTGTGATTCTAAAAACGATAGGAAACCGGATAGCAAAACTGTGGAGGATCGAAAGGATAAAGAGCAGGTTGAATCGTCTTCCGAACAGTGGTCGAGTCCATCGTCGATTGGTCTCAACGAAGACTGTATCTTCGAAGAAGCTACGGTGCAAGACAATGTCGATACAACAATAGACGAAAAATACAAGCAATGCGTGAAGGGAGCCAGGTCGATCACGATGGAACCATCGAGCGACAAAACTCAGAGGACGATTGCCAATTCTCGTCAGAAAGAAAGGCTACCAAATTATATTTACCCAGAAGTCGCGTACCATATCAAAGACGATTCTCAGGACTCGACTAGAAAAGCAACTTCCGTATCTGTGAACGGTAAAACGAATTCGAAGGTGCAAAAATCGGAACGAACGAAACCGCTGTATAATACAGAGTGCGCGAACGTGAATTTGAAAGACATCTTGCAACGGGTAGACAGCTTTCAGAATAACCCGAGGGAGAACTTGGAAAATTTGAGAAAAAGGACGTCCATCGCGAAGGTAATCTTGAACGACAATCAAGATAAAAACGAGGGAGAAAATAGATCGAGTACTCGAGCTCGAAGCGAGCCACCTTTGAATTTGAGTGGCAAGGAGGAGGATCATAAGATGAAATTGGTTGTACCGCCGTCTTTCGCGAGATCCTCGTCTTTGTCCAGCGAAAGCAGTTGCCCTACTCCTTCTAGCGTGCACTCGGATGCGAACACTTCTTGGGAAGACGTTCAACGTGGTACAGCGGGATCTAACGCGTCCTTGGAGAAAGAAGATCCCAGCAAAATCCAGAGAAGGCACGAGATTCAGAGAACTTCGAGCGAGGGAAGGAACAAGCAATGCGTAGATGACAAAAGGCTTTGGGGTAGAGTTTGTACGGGTTCTTACAGCAGAGCAATGGAGAAGTTTAGCAAAAACAATGACGCGAACAAGAAACCTATTAACCAGTTAAATGGATCGCAACAAAATGGAAAGATTAGGAGGAAAAGCAGCCCTGCCATGCCCCAATACATCAACCCGTAGAAATACGCTTCCCTTCCACGAAGACTGATTATAGAACTTGGCCTTGCTCGATATTACGGTGACTCAAGCCGGAAGATCGAACAGCTGAACATTTCTTTTCGCGAACTCTTTGACCGAGTTCGTTTGACAGAAACGAGACAATCGATTTAACGATCTTCGAGCCTTGGCAAACCTTGGTGAAACAATACCGTAAGGCTTAACTAAGCAACGTAGCTACGTTGTTCATGTTCGAGTGGACCAAACCGGCGGATAAATAATCTACAAGCGTGTGTCATCAAATAGTCGAACGACAAACCTGTCATTAACATCCCATCTGGGCGCCGTGTGGTCAAACAAGGCGATCGAACGTGATTGATCGTCATAGCCTTATCCTTGACTTAATCTCCATATCGAGCGACCTTCGAGAACTACTTTTTTCGAAGTGCGTAGTATCGATGGACACGTGGGTACCAAGAAAACGAAGCAACTAATTTCGTCTGGAAATATGGTACCGATAAAAACGAGAAGAAAAGAAACATCGATAGTGTCTTGTAGCTTAACTCACGTTGCGAGGAACGTTGCGACAATATACGGCGTGCGAGAAACGCGAATCTTGCGTTCAAAGAAATTGCTCACTCACGAGAGATTATCTTTTTACGATACATCTTTGCCTCTACTAATTCTCTCTGTTGCCCATCGAAGCTTTAGATAGTAACAATCAGGATTCAATTGGTGCGCCGAAAATGATAACTCAATTATATCGTAGTAGCTAGCGTCTTCTTAAAGCCGGTCTAATAGTGTATTTCATTTAGATTCTAAACGATTCGTTCAATTTTGTATCGGAGATATCGCAATAAAGACTCCTTGCCGTTAAATGTCACGCGTTATTTGCCTTGGGAAGAAACGGAGCCAATCGTAGTCTCAGAAAGCTTTCACGAGAAAATCCAATTAATACCTCTCAATTCCTACGAATACCAGTTTGATCTTCACGAGAAGACCTCCAGCATCTTACGTCAATGTTTCACAAACGAAAAAGATTGGGAAACACTGTCGTACAGCCTTATATAGGCGACTTGTATAGGTAGGAAAAGAAATTTGAGGTAAGCAAAAATTTGGTAAAATTAAATCTTATTATAATATAAAAACAATTGGCATCGGCCACTGCGGCTCACATATTATCAGCAATAATATAATATCTTAATATACACAAAATAATCGCAGTTTTCAGTCATCAATGTTTATTCCCACCGACTCTTTCTAACTCTCTTCCTTTCTCCTCCGATATTCGTACTTTGTACATCCTGAGTCTTTGATTGTTCCGTATTTGGTTTCGGAGGTACAGGTGGTGGTGGGGGCATTATCACCGAAGGCCGTGTAATAGTTTGTTCCCACGTATGATCCGACGATGCACGAAACTAAAAATCAATTAAATTCCCACATATCACATATATCATTCCAAATCCTACACATTATAGCGATGCTCGTTTAAATTCTAAGAAAGTCGTTTCGTCTAAATTTAAATGATTCAGCCTCATCTATCAACCACAAGGAACGCTATTCGATCGATGATATGTTGTTATTTATATGATCGTAACGAAACAGGACTTACCTGAGAATTGTACTGACTACGAAAAGCAGCTTTCATGGCCGATAACCGATCGCTACCTGGTCCATGTCTTTCTAATTTTTTAACAACTTCGCTTATGTCCTTAGATCCTTGAGACGAGGAACCACAACTCTAAACAATAATTTGAACAAATTTGGAACATTATATTAGGATCTGAAAAAGGGAACTGGAGGAATTTTAACGAATAAATACCGAAGTTGAAGATGTTTCCGGTCTTCCCCTAAACCCAAGTCCGGCCCCTCCGACGTTCAAACTCTTCCCTTTCCCACCTTTGAACCTTGACTTGCGGAACCAAGCGCTTTGCATCGCTAAATCCATGAGACTCTTTGGTACTTCCTGATTTGCACCCTCCAAATTTCGAACTAGATGACCTGCGAATTCTTTGTCTTTTTCTGTTACAAGGGTATACGCTGTTCCTTTTTCACCCGCTCGACCAGTTCTACCTATCCTATGTGTATGAGTATCTATGTCTCGTGCGACGTCGTAATTAACAACGGTTCTGATATGTGGAATGTCCAAACCTCGAGCTACGGGAAAATTCAAAAGGAGTTTCAGGAAATCGTTACAAGTAAGATTAATCGTTCCAGCCGATTGAAGGCAAGAAGATAATTACCAGCAACGTCAGTAGCGACCAGTGTAGTAACTTCCTTCTTTTTAAAAGCCGTTATTACTTTGTTCCTTTCGATTTGGTCCATATCACCATGCAACAACATTACGTCAAATTCTTTCAACTTGAGATTGTTTGCAAGTTCCTCCGCATTGAGCTACGGTAATATAATGCCATACAGTTGCAAAAATTCACTATATATCATTTGTATCTATTGAGTAACTTGCGGATATTTATGCAATATAGATAATTTCATAGTTTCATGGACATAGTTAGATATACCTATTATAGCTCTTTCTCGCTGTACATTTTATACATTTTCACAGTTCTAAATTAAATTTGAATTAAAGTTTCTCACAAATGCATAAACATCAGCAGTTGGACTAGTTAACCGAGCACGGTCATAATCGCCAACCTTTTTAGTTACGAAAATCAACAGACTACCAGAGCTCAAGAATTCAACTAGATTCTGCAACAACCACGTCCATTTGCCAGTAGGATTATTATTGAACACTATCACGTGTTGCGTGACATCAGCATTCGCCTCACCGACGTCCCCTTGTACTATCCTAACCGGATCCGTCAGAACATCCCTCGCAAGCTTTTCTACCCTCTTTTTGAAAGTTGCGCTGAACAACAATGTTTGCCTGTCTGGCCTTACGTGGTTACATATTGAACGCACTTGTGGCTCTGGAATCAAACAGAGCGGTAACAAGCAAAATAAAAATATTATTAATAGGTCTTAAAGTTTCCCAACAACCGCGTCGACGACGCAACCGATCGACGAAGAAAACTTGTTTTTCTCCCCTGTTCCAAGATTATAAAATTATATTGCAAACGGTGCGCTTACCGAAACCCATATCGAACATTCTATCAGCTTCATCCAATACTAGAAATGTTACTCTGGTTAAATTCGTTGCTTTCATTTTAACTAAATCTATCATTCTACCCGGCGTTGCGACTACTATTTCCGCACCCCCTTCCAATGCTTTACTTTGCTCCCATTTGCTGCCACCGCCGTAACAACAGCACACTTGAATATTATACACTTTCCCGAACTTCCTTGCTTCTTGGTAAATCTACGAATACAACGAACCGAATAAACTTGCGCCTAAAACTATCCCTATATACATATTTTAGCTTGATTGGAGAGCGCTGTCGTTTTTGTTCTTTGGAAAGGAACGGATGGAATATCTAAATTGACATTACAATTAAAATATTCTTTCGGTGCTCCTATAGCATTGAATTGATGAAAAATTATACGATCACGAAACCTTCTACTTGTAACTTGTCAATTTTACTAATGTTATTAGTCGATGAGTTATTGTATAAGTGGGCCAAGATAATTTTTCCAACAACATTAACCATTTTTTAATGGTCTATGTTAACTATCTGAAGACCTCCAAATAAAATACTGACTACGAGCAAAATCTGACGACAGAACTTCCGATCAATTTAGTATATTAGCTTAGGCTACTTTAACGTAACAAGTACCTGTTGTGACAATTCTCTCGTAGGAGCAAGAATTAAACCGATGGGTCCGTCACCTGCCTTCAATTCTCTTTGATCCATTATGTGAACTAACATTGGCCAAATAAAAGCTGCTGTTTTACCGCTACCGGTTTTCGCTATACCTATTATATCCCTGCCGCTCAATGCGGCCGGAACTGCTTGAGCTTGGATAGGGGTAGGTTGAGTGTATTCGTTTTTTCTAATAGCCTTTATTAACGCATCATCGAAACCAAAATGACCGAAACTGGTAACCGGATTCGGCGGAGACGGACCAGATACCTTTATTCCCAAAGTTTTCTTCAGATCGTCGATTTGTTGTTTACTTAAATTAGCGATCTCATCGTGAACGTTATAAAAATTTTTCTCGAAAGATTCGTATTTTATCTCGCTATGATCAACAGGAGGTAAGGGATCGATATCTTTCTTTTTTGGAGGCGCGATCGGGTTCCCGTCTTCATCGTAATCGATCTCTTGGTCAGATTCCTCTTGTTGCAAACCCGCAGTTGGATTTTCTTCCATATACCTTGTCAATGGAATAACCCAATATTTCTTCATCTCTTTTTATCTTTTTTTTAACAAATACAGCAATGGCTAATTAACTGCAGTTACCAATATCTGACTATAGGAGCTAAATCCGAACTACAACTGCTAATACGCTAGGTCATAAGTTCTCAAAATATGGCTCGTGAACCACTGGTAGCTCATGAGCAGATTTTGGTTGAATCGCAAGTGGATCGCGAGAAGTTATTTTTTAAAGGTGGATCTCGACTCAATGTTATAATATCTGCTCACAATCGATAGCTTTGGCTCAATGAATCCGAACTACAGTTAAATAGACACTACTGCATCTTCTCTTCCCTCGCCAAAAAAATCAACAAAATCCTTACCTGTAGTAACTTTCCTCGTCGTCCTCGCCATCGATATCCGCTCTAAATCCCTTGGATTTTTCTTCTTTGCGCTCGTCCTCCGCCAGTTGTGCTTCATAATTGTTTCTTTTAACCTCTGCGTCTATACCAGCCATAAATGCATCTAGTGGATCTTCCTCGCTATCGCTATCTTCTTTCGAAGTTGATTTTTTCATCCAATCGTAAGTGGGAGATCCAGGTGCCGGAATATATTCCAAGGAAAATGGCGGAGGATCATCATCATCCTCAAAGTATCTAATTGTAGCATTTAACATTTAATGTTGTTGTTGCTTTTGCTCTCTTATGACTTCTTAAAGTGTATACTCACTCCTCCTCAGTTTTGCTACGCTTCTTTGGCATTCCCCAGCATGCAGATAAGGCATTTTCGGTGATAGAATTCATAGTGTGATAGCCTTGCTTGCTTAGAGTAGAATTTGGTGGAGGTGGTGGTACGTTAGAGCCACTTCTTTTTGTACCAGTCATTTGAAACCCCGCAAATCCAAAGCCTTTTGGCTTATTACCACCGCCACGGTGATAACTCATATTTATCTTGTTATTTCTACAATGTGAATATATTAACAGTTATTTACATATCCCAGAATCATTCCCATCCCGAAATAGCTGGGAACTCAAGCAAATCATGTATTTATAATTTTTTGCTTGCCCTACTGTTAGATACAATCGCTTTACAATATCAAGAGAATACATTGTTAATAGACTTTGGATCAAGACACAAACATACATGACAGAAAGTCAAATTCATGACCTGTTATTTTTTATTTATATTTATTCTAGTAGCAAGTATGCTAGACAAAACGCAAAAATCTATCGATTAGTATCAATACAGTATTATTGTAAAGCTATTCAAATTTGCTTTCTAACGCTATATATTTATTGTTTTCATTTCAACGGGAGGAAAGAGGTTAGAACACCTTTATAACCCACTAATATAACGGGAAACGTTGAAACACGTATTTTTTATTTGCAAACACTAAATAGTTGCACGATATTTTAGGACAATGAAACGGATCTACCTTACACGAATACTCTTCAAGAAATTACTTCACATCTAAGAAAATGCGACTCTAAATACCCCAATATCGAACGATAAAACAAGCACATACAGAGAGTGCTCACGCCTGCAGTCCCAGTTGTTCCACAGTACAGAGGCTCTACCATACGGCCAAATGCTGAAGATGATCCATGTTAGCATATACAAGAACCCATAAAATTAAGGATCTGTTTGCTTGTCGCACACTAGCATAGACAGGAACCTATTTAGTTTCATGTTACAAACTTGCCTTCGCAAACGAAAGAACACCACTCTTGATCAGCCGTATACTGTAAAAAATAAATTAATTTATTAAAAATATTTTACAATAATCAAAAATATTCATGCCAGTAGAATCGACATGTCGGATGCCAAGAGTTAATGTCAAATCTAAATAGTGTCTAGAAAATACATTACAATTATTATTACATCTTTTCTTTTCTTCTCTAAAATCATATAATAAATATTAATTATCTTTACTCTTTTCTATTTCAGATAACTACGAAAACATTTCTGTAGAACCGTACAATTAAATAGGTTCTTGTCTATGCTAATCAAACAGGATAGATCCCTAACTTTATATGTTCTTGTATATGCTAGCGTGGATCACCTTTCAGTATCGGTCGCGTGGTGCAGCACTACTCCGGAAACAACCAGGACCATAAGCATGAGCACTTCCATTTCTTCTTCGTGCATACATTTTATAACGACTCAGACGGTGCTGCTCCTATGTGGTGCATCGATATCCTGCGTTAAGTCCTTGAGCGAATGGCATTGCTCCCAGAAGAATGACTCAAAAAGGATATGATCTCTGTTATGAATAATTTAATCTATAACTGATACATTTTCTCAAAAAAAAAAACTTCGATAATATTATCTTAAAAATTTTATGCAAAGTATAATATTATGGTTAGAAAAAAGATGATGTATATCAGATATAATTTGTTCACCCTTATTTGCATATTTTATTGAGCAACATTACACAACATTGAACATTATAATGTAATTGCAATTACATTTCGTTGAAAATGCTTAGTAAAAATTGATTGTGACCTTATCGCGATCTATCGATAATTATATCATTCTATAAAGCTAAATTCAGGAAGTTTTGTAAGTAAATAAATTAGCGGCTGAGAAATAGAATCAAAAGAAAATCAATTTTCCGAATGCTGATTAAAAATGCGACTGCAGGAACACGATAGAATGGCTTTTTTAAAAGCATGCTTATTGTCATGAAAATGTTGATTAAAAGATTCTCTTCATTCATACTCTGACGGCTGAGTGACATAAATAGTTCTATCACAGCTGAATCGATCGAATATCCGAGCCTGCGTGTTAACAGAGGCGCCATGCGACTTCGTAGATTTCAGCGTCCGTCGTAAGATCGTGTTCGTCGCAGTTGAGATTCTGTCACAACGAGTCAAGCATCGAAAAATTCCGCATACGAACATAGTCAATTCCACGTAAGTACAGAAATCATTTATGAAGTCTATGGTTTAGCGGAATGGCAATGCGTTTGTTAAACAAACATTTGCTTTCAAGTACTTCTTATCAGTATGATACATATACAGATACAGTATGATGTTGTAATAGGAATCTGTTTAAAAGAAATCAGAATGCCATCGGTTCGCCGAATGATCCTCGGGCACGTTATGTCCGGTCTGTGTTCCAAAATGAATCGCACGAAAAAGCTCCAAGGTGATTTACTGGAAACTCCAATGAAAAGATGTCTTTCCACGTTCGATATTACGTTGCTTGGTAAGTATGCTCTTTCCGCTATTTTAATCGTAAGAACATGCACGACCACCTCGCGCGATATCACGTACTCGTGGGCGATAAAGTAGTTTCAAAACCGGAAAAATGTTAATTGCATACGCGCGATATAACGTTGCAAACCGACGAGACGTTTATGCCTGTTATTGTCAGAATGAACAATTCTCGCGCAACTTTATGGTCTCTTTGTGTTCATGTTTACGTATGTAAATACGTGAATTTATTTTTCAGGTGTTGGTCATATGGTTGGCGCTGGTATCTACGTTTTGACAGGAACGGTGGCTCATGACACAGCCGGTCCAGGCGTAATCCTCAGCTTTCTGCTCGCTGGTATAGCTTCTTTGTTAGCTGCGTTATGTTACGCTGAATTTGGTGCAAGAATTCCAAAAGCTGGCAGCGCGTACGTTTACACCTACATCTCCGTCGGCGAATTCTGGGCTTTCGTAATTGGATGGAACATCATATTAGAGCATATGATCGGTAAAGTTATTTGTTCTCGATTACGGTCTATTCTGTCTCATAAATTTCACGGAATTTTTATGCTCGGGAATAGGTGCGGCGTCCGTGGCCAGGGCATGGAGCGGATACGTTGATTCTCTAGCAGGAGGAGCAATCAGCAATTACACCCGCCGAATAATGCACGGGTACACAATGGGGGAGCCACTTGGAACTATACCAGATTTTTTAGCCGCTGGATTATGCCTAGCTTACGCGATGTTGTTAGCATTGGGTGTTAAATGTTCGGCAACGGTTAATTCTTTGCTCACTATCGTAAATTTAGGCGTGATGGGGTTGGTAATCGGTCTGGGGATATATTATGCGAAACTTTCTAATTGGAGCTGTGAGAATGGAGGATTCTTGCCGTACGGATTCAGCGGTGTATTAGCAGGTATTTTTGGACCTATACATGGAGGGAAAATCGTATAGTACTAGCCATTCTATATCTTCTTTACTATAATATGGATTGGTACAATTTAAATATTTAAACAATTATTTGTAGTATAAATGAAACTTGATAAAAATAGGAAGCAACTAATATCATTCAACGTTAATATTTATCTTTGCTCTGTACTGGACAACTTTCCTTCATACATGTTCATTTCCAATAAATTCTATTCTTCTATTCTAATACGTTTCCTATACACGAACAGGTGCCGCAACATGTTTCTACGCTTTCGTTGGCTTCGATTCTATAGCTACCTCTGGCGAAGAAGCGCGCGATCCTGGGTACAGTATACCACGAGCAACGCTATTTTCCATGGCAATCGTAACCATCGGGTACGTGATGGTCGGCGCCGCTTTAACTTTAGTCGTGCCGTATTGGAACATCAATCCAACAGCAGCGCTTCCCGAGGCTTTCTCATCGAGAGGAATACCATGGGCGAAATACGCGATAAGGTGAGAAAATCGTCGAACGATTCTTACCTAAAATTCGAAGCAAGAAACACCTTTGTTCGAATAATTTCTCCGTGTACAATTTTCACGCGCAACAGTGTCGGGGCTTTGTGCGGAATGACGACGACTCTCTTCGGATCCCTGTTTTCATTGCCACGGACAATGTACGCCATGGCGAACGATGGTCTACTCTTTGGCTTTCTGGGCCACGTTAGCGAGCGCACTCAAGTTCCGGTACTCAACTTGGCTATCAGCGGCTCTGTCAGTGCCTTAATCGCCTTGCTCTTCGACCTTCAACATTTAGTTGAATTTATGTCTATCGGTACTTTCTTGGCCTATACCATCGTTTCAGCGAGCGTAATTATCTTGAGATATCGCCCTGAGAAAGTTACGCCGCTGCCATCGAACGCTGGTACACCGAGCAGTTTGACATCGCCTCCTACCGAGGGTGCGGATTCCAACAGCGATTGTAACAGCGTCACGTCCGCCGAATCCGAGGTAAAGAAAGAAGAGAGAAGGAACCGAGCATTTATAACTGTTCCAACTAGACTGTGCAAATTGATGTTCTTACGGACTAAAAGAATACAAAGAAAATCTAGTCTTCCTATCTATCCTTTTCTTTATAATTTTTACGTTCGTTATAGCTCTTAGATCTGAGCGAGGGCACTGGCAAACTTACGTCACGTTACGTTTGGCTGGTGAATTTCCTGGGTAACTGCAAACCTGGAGATGCGGTCACTGGTTCCGTAATGATTTATACGGCAGGTTGCATTTCTTTGTGTTATCTGTTAATACTGATATCTCAAACGTATTTTGCACCCGACTGGTGGGACTACTTCGTTCTGACAAACGTTGTTACATTATTGATTGGCAGTAAGTTTCAAAATTTTCACTCCATGTCACGCATTTGTTCTCTAACTAATCGAGGTCTTAATCGTAGGTCTTATCGTTATCTCTGCGCACCAACAAAGTCCACCTACTGGTAAATTCCGCGTACCTATGGTACCTATAGTACCAGCTCTGAGTATCTTATTCAACGTTGGACTAATGTTTCACTTGTCGCTTTTAACGTGGCTACGATTTCTTGTGTGGATGATAGTCGGTAGGTTGATATGCCAAAGTTGCATACAAGTCAATAGTATCGTGAATACTGTTTCACAATAATATCGCACGCTCGTTATACCTTTGTTGCAGGAATGTTAATATACTTCCTGTATGGGATTCACTACAGTAAAGAAGCAGCGGGTCCAAATTCGTACTCGATCTTAATGGCGACTTCGGAAGCTGGTCGGGGTGCGAAATGGGGAGCGACGTTACGGGTTAATCAGAAAAGCGATAAAGTTCCGATCTTAAACGAGGAAGATTTCGTACATTAGAAGCATAGAGTTTTTAGAGAGCCAGAACTGTGTAAAAATTATGCCAATCAACGCTGAATGTAAGTAAATTATAATACTTAGGGAATTGGAAAAATGTTACAGAATCTGACCATTGTTTTCTTACATATACCTCAATTTGAATTAGAGATTAGAGTGTCTGAGGGATCTTTGTACATACCAATGTTATGTAAAACGCTAAGCCGAATTGTATCCCTTTCAAGTCATTTTGTCTTTAAGAATTAAGCAACTGGATGCTGGAAGGATTTCAATGTAGGCAAGACTGTGCTTTTTTAGTAATTTATCTCGATTAATTTCGTCGATCGATTATGTCGTACCTTATTTGTATATCGCAATTTAGTTGAAAGTATTTCAATCCCTATATTTTATTATATTTAATTATATTTTATCGCGCACAATTTTATGGTATATACAGTCCTTTTATATTTTACAGATATATATTAATTCTCGTTGCGCATACAAAATTTCATCGTATGCTGATTGTACATTAAAACGTTTAGTTGCGTGTTTATACGGATGCACAAAAAAACAAAGTGTATCTAACGATATAGTACAATAGTAAAATTCAGTCGACTCTGAGAGAAGAGAAGGTATCATATTCTTAGTACAAATTTGATTTCTAGAAACCCATCGTCTGGTCCAGAAGAATAATAAGATATTCGGAACATTTATAAATTTGATGTTGCAATCAAAAAAAAAAAAAAAAAAAAAAAAAAAAAAAAAAAAAAAAAAAAAAAAAAAAAAAAAAAAAAAAAAAAAAAAAAAAAAAAAAAAAAAAAAAAAAAAAAAAAAAAAAAAAAAAAAAAAAAAANNCTTTAGGAAAAAATTTCCGGAATTTCTTATTTACATGATTATAAAGAAATGCATAATAAAAAGGAGCTACTTTCTAATACTTCTCTTCCTTGTAATGCTTATGTTAATAATAACGAGGTTCGAGTTTTTTTTAAAAAAAAAAAAAAAAAAAAAAAAAAAAAAAAAGAAAACAAAAAAAAGTTAAGATGTGCAGAGAGAGGGAGAATGTATTTTTGGAGACCAGATTTTGGAAAGGCATGCAGAACAATTGTCTATTTGAGCAAATTTGAATGTTCTGCTGCAAGGATCGAAACATGGTGCCTTGGGAACGGATAGACTAATTATACAGTAAGATATACGAATCTAAAAAAGCATGACAATAGATTCAGCTATTATATGGCGGGCATTAATTTTAAGATTATCTGTACACGGATTTGCTAAGCTCGTGGATTGCTCTATTGAATTTTGAAACTGCTCCCCTGAGGAAATAGAAAATATGACTATTTATCATGCCCTTTTCTCTTTGTAGTCTTCATTTATAATTTGTCTTCATTAAAAATCGATGTGTTCTACTTGTTCCACTTGTTCCATAGTATAAAACGTTTCTAGGGTTGACCGTTCCTAGTCCACCAATTTATTCACGACCTCTTACGTTCAAAAGTATTTAATGCATGTTTGACGTAAAACAAACGTCGATTAATACGGTATCTCGAATTATTTCTTCCCGTATAATTTAAATAATTAATGGCGTATGTTATTTTGACAGTCCTCCGCTCAGCAGATCCAACAAGGATCGACTACCATAGCAGATAATATAATCGATGTTACATAAGAAAGTATATACTATTGATATCTTAAAGATTACTACCGTCAAAGTGACGTAGATGTTATATAGATGAAAAATATCCTAGCAAATACCATAATATCACGTCTTAAATAAGATTTAAGGTGAACGTTTATTTACGAAGAATACATCGCTTCAGGATTACGCGAGTAACTTGCAAGGAATGCAAGTATTTGCAGACGCTTAGAAATGTTTCAAATAAGCCAAGTTATCTAAGCCAAGTTATTATACAAGAAAGTAAATATGTAGTAGGATTCATCCTTAGAATATTATGATGCAGCAAACTTTTACATGATATTTGAAACATTTCTTTCTGCCTTGAATATCTGCGAAGATTTTCGAAAACGATTCACCTTTAAAGTAGAGAGTATACATATAACGAAGAGAATATTCAATTAAAACGTTACATAGAAATTTTCTGCGAGACAAACGCCCAATATTGTATCGCAAACTGCAAGGACAACTACAATGTACGCGCAATTATCGACGCATACTGTACAGCAAACTGATTATCGGTGATTGCGTGAACACACACAAAAACAACAGCCACGAGGAAAAGATTGTAAAAATATATGTGGAATTAAAATCTAGTTAGCCGTGCAACCATACTGCACTATACGTGGTTATCAAGCTCGTGTAACCGTGCATAAGAATGGTACCAAAAATTATTGTCAATGTTATGTACTATATTTGTCTTCTAATATAAAATATTTGTCATCGAAAAGTCAGATTTTCTCCAATGGCAATTAATTCTTTAAACTTCATTTTACACCATCAGCGTATCGTTTCAAGGTACACGAACACAAAATGAACCATGTGTTTATTCTTCGAGCGATATCTTTGACAACATTTCCTAGAAACAGGCGATTTTAAAGTACTTCAAATTTGATGTATCGACGTTTGATTAAACCTCCATGAGCCATTAATAATGCAGCCTGGCAGAGATTTACGAGCAAACATGGAAGTATTAACCTATATAAAAAGGTGAACCTTACACTTGAAAGCTTTAGAAGGAATTTTGAAGTCAAAGTAGAAACGTGCAACATGTTTATCAAGTTGATTCTGATCGCCACGTTCGTTAACTTCGTTTGTGTACGGAGTATCGAAAATGAAGTTCAACATTTATCGTTGTTCGTTGAGTCTCATCCCGGCACCATTATGGATACTGAATCGACTAAAACCGTAAATATCTTGCTATGTTTCTTGTATAATTTTCCCAGAGAAAATTACATTCGGAAAGATCTATTTTTACATAGCGTTAACGAACCTCTTTTTAACGGTACAAATTAAAATTAACGCAACGATATAAATCGCAGGGAGACGAGCACGTTCTTGAATTGCCTACAACATACACATCCTCGTTAACTGTGCCAACAGTTGCGAATCACGAGTCGATACACTCGGAATCGGCGCATCTCAAGAAAAGAGCAACAAATATCAAGGAAGACCATCGAACCGATTTACGACCTGGATGTTGTGGATAAGCGATTAAGTGAACCACCTTTCACCGACCACCGATCCTGTCCCGTAAATATCTGCTTTTAAAAAATATTTACGTGCAAATGCTAGATAGTACTTAAATGCATACTACGAATACCGTTTTATCTCTTCAGTTCCTTTCACGATGTGATAGCATATAAAATAAAAAAATGGCTATCAAGCCGCAGAAAGATAACTCTTTTTCTATCATCCCTATTTGCACTATCACATTAAATTCTACGCGATGAATTAAAAAAATATGGATATGGTAAAAGCAGAGTAAAGGTAGAATACTTTGTATGGAAAACTTTTATTAACATTATGTATTCGCACATAATAAATTACAACACCCGTTCGCAAACGGTCGCAAATTTTATCGTTAAGTTATCCAAACCCAATCGAAAGTACAGATATGTAGTAAAACAATGCAATATATTGCAACATTACATCGTAATTAAAATCACCAATCTTCATGGAAGGATGAAGACATAAATAGAAAAAGACACAGTTTTATTTTTTTGGCATATCACTAGGTATAAACGACATGCTACAACCAAAATCATCAGTGCTCTATTTAAATAATTGTACAATGAATGCAGTACTTGTTCGATGTTGTTATTGTGCTAATATATGAAATAATGTTATAAAAATTATTCATATAAAATTAGGTATCAAATCTTCGACAAATACCGCTTATTATTTGTTACATTAAAAAAAATTAAACAAATAAGAACACGAAACAAAAAATATTGTGAAACTAGAAAACAATTCAGTTCATGTTGCGTTGATCAAATTGGAACACTTGGTGGACGTGTAAAAAATCACCCGAGCACGCAACCGATACGCGATCAACACACGCGTATTTACTTTGTACAATTTCTAGAGATGTACGAGAACCCAAAAATATCGAATCGAGTTGGGTTCCCGAAAGTATCTCATAATTCGGTACTGTCAGAATACCTGAGAATTTCGAAATTCTCGAAAATTTAAAAATTATATAGAGTAGAATACGAAGTAAAAATAATAACGAAATATATCATAAATATAAAATTTTATTATAGAATATTATAATTTACTATATAATTTTATAATTCTCGAAAATCCTGATTTTTTCAAGAATCCCGAAATTTTCAGGAATCCCGACAGTCTCGAATTACGGATACTTTTGGAATGCGACTCTTCTCGACTCGTCCCGAGCATCGGGTTTCCGATATGTTCGAATTTTCGCACACTTCTAACAATTTTGTAATAATTGCAGGTACCGTATTAGCAAACTGCAACACAAATTCAATACTGTTATCTGTTCTGCTTCGAAAGAATAATTTTCCAAGCAGACATCGGTCTTGTTTGTAACAGATCTATTTTCCGTCGACCCCATCTGAGCCAAGCAAATCCTATAATTAAGCACAAGATACTCTCTATGTAATATCCATCAAATTGCATATTACAAGCACCATTATGCGTGTCCATGCAGAGCTGAAAACGAAAAAATTTTGTTTTCAAAAGCACCTTTTAAACAATTATCTATAAGCCGAAACAACAGACACCAACCTCCCTTTCCGAAATTGTGCTACAGTCATTTGAGGGATCGGTGCTGCATTGTCGATACGTTAATGGATCAACGAACCAAAGAGCTGCCGTTGCTGGCCAATTAGCTCCGAGATTACTTAATGTATTTAGTAATGTCATGTAAGTACCACCAACAGCTGGATCGCTAATCTTTGCAAAAAATGCCATCGATGCCACGAACATACTACTTGTGAAAACCTGTGACAAGCGAAGATGATATATATGTTTTTGTAATCACTTACCATCATTAATCAAATTATGGTTCGTGTCGTGTCGATATCTCACCTGGTGTATCAAATATAGAGCAATTAAAACTATGAAGTAATAGGCTGGAACATGTCCCCCTGTTACGATATATGGTGTCACATATACCAAAACTGCTGCTACTAATCCAAAAGCCAGTCTAGAGAATCAATTACAAATATTTATTATATGCCTATTTGGAATATTCTATTTTATACATTTGTCTTCTAATCACCTATAAGGCATTGCCATTATGTATACATCCATGGGCCTTGGACCTACTGTATACTTTGATATTGCTAATGGTAACAGTATTTGTAATGGAATCATAGGCACAGCCATAAGAGCAAACTTTTCTTTTGGTATACCAGCTTCTACTAGCTTCAAACCTGTTACAGCATCACAAGCAGAAAACCCTATCTGCAATTGATGCAGAATTAAATTATTATTACTAATATAAATGTGAATTTTATTATATTTACTGACCTTAGCCGTTAACAAAAATATAATGATTGTTTTTATAGATGGTAATTTGACGATATTCCAAAGTAATTTGTATGCATGTTTGATATCTGTATTCAATTCTTCGTCTTTATGCATTTTCTCTGAATCTTCATGTTTAAACAAGGCAAGTAAAGTGGTAATAATTATAAATACCCATCCCCAGAAATAAAGAAAATCTATAAAAGTGAATAGTAAATCACAATTGTGCCTATGTCAACTTTTTAAATATTAATGCTCAAATTACTTTACCGGGCAGAGTCAAAATGCCTTCGTTGGAAGGTGTAGATCTTAAATAACTGTTACAAAATTCAGGGGATTCTAATGCCATAAAAAGTACATAACCAATAAAATATCCAGCAGTTTGTCCTACACTGTTGCAAGTTGATGCATATCCCACGTTACATCTAAATATATAAAACAGAAATGTAGACTTATTAAAACTACTATTAACTCATTTAGTTTTACGATTACAAATTATATCTATACCTTTTTAACATGGTCAGTGCCCATCCATCAACTACAATATCTTGAGTTGCAGCCAAAACATTTAGTACAAAAAATATTACAGTCAACATTTCTATGTTTGGTTTTATTGTTTTACTACCCAACCATTGATTTACATGGCTGGATAATAGCAGCATGAAAAATCCCATCAAATATTGAGTTGGAATTAGCCACGTTTTCCTTCTTCCAAATCTTTGTGAAAACACGGAGTCTACTATGGGTGCCCAAAACAGTTTCAAAGAAAAGGGCCATTGCACAAAACTAAATTCAGCCTGAAAGTACAACAACATTTGTATATTATTTGAAGCAATTCCAATATAAATCTAGGAAGTTACCTGCTGACGATATGACACATCTCTGTTCTGAAGTAACATGGGTATAGAACCACATAACCCCAATGGTATTCCTTGTAACAGATATAAAAATAAAAGAATAGCTATATTCTTTTCGTCACCTCGTACATCCGAACGTTCGTGGACATGCTTCGACTCGTGGATCCCATCTTCCACGTTGTCATCCTTATTCATTTTCCTTCTAGTACCCATGAAGAACGATATGAGAGATCAACAACAATCTCATGCACCTTACTTTTTTAATCTCCGCGGTAATCGATGATCTTTTTATGCGAGCGTCGACTCTCTAATTTTTAACGCTTACTTTTAACAACGTTATCAAGCATCCCATGGATTATGCGATAATTATCGATATATTGTTCCAAAATGCTCCAACGTAGATCTTCCGATCAAATGACATACAAACATTTCTGAACGAGAGAGTCACTCACACAATAACAAAATGAATTATTTATCTTATGACAGTTGTATCACTATTGACGTAGTCATTGCCGATATAACCTTAACTTTACATATATAAAACGATATTACACTTGTACGAGGAATTGACAGACGAGGTTCTAGTAAAAAATAAGTATTCCCAAGTATTTTACATTTATATTACGAGCAACAGCAGCTGAATAGTAATGAACTCAAATTGTTTCGTTTTTATCAAAATTGTTCAGCTGAGAATCATATACAAAAGTTCGCAGCAACTCGTAAATGCCACGTTGTTTCTCATTAAGGACACGTCAGTTATATTCTGTCTTCTTCAATCTTAAAGCCACGTGTGAAACCTTTATTGCTAAAACTAACGACTTGATAGAAGAGCAAATGTATATACACTGGGTAAATACATATGTGCGAATCGTCAATTCATTGCAATGCTTCTATAGAAACCCGCCTTTTACTGAGACCGATATTTCTAGGTATAACAGTAAATTACTAACGGGATTAGAATACTGTTATTTAAGAAAATAACGTTATTTAAGAGATTCAAGAAATTATGTAATATTATGTGTGCCCTCAAACAATAACTTATTAGCTATGGAAATTATATAACAGAGTATTGTCAATCGTATTTGGCGGGGATAACTACGCGCATGAATGGCACCCCACTATTATACACAACACGTGTTACGTGATTCCATTCGCAGAATTTAGTCACAGTTGCCTGCGGGCCGTCAAGAAGTTGAGGTATTGTTTCGTTTTTATTTTCTAAGTTATCAAACATGCATACGTATGTATATTTTGTGTTATATTAGTTTTATTCCTGTATTTTCATACGGTTTCTCCGTTTCCATGAGAAATGAGTATAATAATGATAGTGTTTCGTATCAGCGCAAAATTTTACGCCTTTATTTTTTTGTCGGTTTTTATATTTAGAAGAATATCCAGTTACAATTCTTTGACAAATTCTATAGTTTAAGAACAGATAGATTCTTGCTTGTTTTAATTTGTACAAGAGTACAAGTAAATGCGTTGCAATTGTCTCCATTCACGGCAACAATGGTTGCCGCTCTTACTAATCTTCTAATGCGCATATTCACAAGTTCATCGTCGTGTACATTGTTTAGAAGCCTGTAATAATATTAAAACTTACGGAATTTTTTCTATAGCTTACTGTAACAATAAAAAACAGAAATATATATACAAATTCTTAAGACGATGTTCCAATGCTGATATTTCTTTGAAAAAGTTAGCGTCCTTCTTACGATTGATCCAGTAATTCTTTTGAATCTCGCACGTAACTCTAGCTACACACGTCGGTGAGAGAGATACTTTGTTTCCATCTTCATCATTCTACTTAACGATAACATAGTATGATATATTAAAATGGAACGCGTAATTAGAATTAATGAATGAGAAATTACAATAGAAATACTGTCTAACTATGGAGAATGGTAGTAAAAGTAAAAAAGCATAATTTAACAAACTTCCATCAAGGTTTCATTTTTCTACTCACATTCTATGAAAATATACATGTATACTAACATCTGCAGTCTATTTATATCGATTTGCTGCGAATTGGTTCTTCAGAACCAATAGGTACACTCTTTCTCAATAGTTGGACAGAATATCGTTCAAATACGACTAAACAACCTTGGTAACGTTACTTTTCAAGTTTGTTAAAATGTAATTCATATAATCATTTCTGTCTTTGATGGACAAACTCGATCGTTTCTTTCTGCCTGATACAACTCCGAGCGGAAGAAGAACAGGATTCGTTGCTAAAGCGGCGGCTGCACCAATTAACGCAACACCTGCCAATGCCTTTAAAGCGACGGCCTAATGCAAATAATAGCAATCAATAATCCGCTAAAACGTATGGTGAAAATGCGGTCTTGAAAGAATTGAAGCGGATTGACGACACTATTGTCAAACTGTATCAACAATTTTATCGTCAGTACTGTTGAACGTGTGCAGGCCTCTTTAAAATCAGATCTCGATTCGTCTCTAAAATTCAACCATTACCTTCTGCGCGTTAATATTCGGATGGGGAGGAGGATGTCCATCTGGACGATTTGGCTCCACAGATCCGAATTCATCGCCATTAGCGAAGGTCCCTGAAATTCCATAATCACCTCCGTAACCAGTTGGTCGATTAAAGCTATATCCTCCGAAACCACTGCCAGCATAACCATATCCTCCGCCGGAATCATAACTACCAGGTTTGCGTGAACCTTCGCTCCCATAACTCGGTCGTGGACCAAATCTAATAATAATCGTATGAGATTAAATTAAAAGTTAAAAAAGAGATAATCTACAATTATTTTTCAAATATTTTATTTAAACGAAAAAATGACGTTTCATAGGCATCAATCTAATGACTGCTTACCTATCTCCTGTATGACTTCCTTCGTAAAACGCAGTTCCAGCGTAACTTCCACTTCCGGGTCTTCCGCTTAAACCTGGTGACGGTCCGTGAGTTTGCCAGCCGTATCTGCGTATGTATTATGTTTTTGATAGAAACCGTAAATTAATCACACGATACTTTACCAAGATTGGGTTACCTTTTGCTTAAAGCAGAAATAATAAACAGTAGACTACATAACTGCACCAAAATAAAATAGATATGAAAATAATTCATTTTCCACAATACATTATCATTCAGATAATGCCATTCGAAGTAAAGTAACAAAGCAAAAGTTTTATTCGAATAATTATTCGAACTCGAATTTTATTCGATTACTTAATTGTGCCCAATCCTGCATTGTAATACTAATTTAAAGAATCACCTATCAGTGGGTAAACGTTCAGCAAATTTAGTTTGATATCGACCGTTGTCCACAGGGGTCCTACTGTGATACGAATCAGGTCGCGTTGACGAATTGGAACCGTATCTGGATCCGCAGCAACTGAAACTTGCACGTTTCAATTCATCGTGATGTGAACGTTTCAAAAATGTAAAGATTTTTATTGCAGTACTTCACTTATCTCTTGAATCGGATTTCAATCGCTGATTAATAATCGTTCGTGAATATTTATCCAAATTCTTCTGTTCATGTTGCGCGTTATCAGACACTACGCTATACAGATATGGCGTCTTGGAAGAATTTTTAGCGCGTACGACGTCCGTCAACAGTTTATCTTTCGTGAGCTGTTTCTTAACGAATTCAGGAGCCGCGGCGAATTCATTATTGTCCGCGAGCGCACAGCAAAGAAAGCTAGTCGTTAGCAGAGCGCAAATGAGTCGTTGCGACATCTTAATAAAAAATCTACTTAGGTAACAATTCGCTGCGAGATAGTAAAATTTCTAGATATGTTTTAACGTAAAGACTGGGGAAACAAAAGTGCTTCTTTTCCACGAGTTTCACCTCTTTATATAGTGGCCACGCATGGAATATTGTCGCGCGTTTGTCCTTCAGGACTGGCGGCTCTCTTTCTAAGCTTTCCTTGCATCGTCGTTTCAATTGGGAAAATTATTCGATAAAAAATACATTGGTTATAGTTGATAAAAATTCTTATTTTAATAAGAATTTTTTTCTTTAACTTTCATATTTGCATTCTATTTTCATTTATACTTCGTATTCGTATTATCTTCGATAGAAAAAATTTGTGTGTTTAGTTTTAGTCTCTGTAAATCACGAAGCATGACCAAGAGATGTGTACGAGCATGCCGGTGAAAATATAAGTGTCACGAGTGAGCCAACAATATCCTTACCGTCACGCTAAGGGTTTAATTAACGTCCATTTGTTACTACAGTTTTAAGTGAAATTTCACATTCTGATAGAACAAGGAACAACAGGTCAAATCTTGAAAGCGATAGACACTCGCATCTATCGCTTTCACATTAGCGCTGGATCGTGTTTGCGTTCTTGCTAATGCGCTCTTTAATTGCATGTACATAGTTTGGTTGATATTATCATTATTTTCTTGAAAGTTCAGGAAGCGTACACATTAGTCTTCTTTTTACTTTCCCATGCATAAAAGGAATTGCATTTATTTTCATCGTACAGACCAAATTGGCAATTTTCTTCGTTCTCTTTATTTGGAACTTTTCAATGATTTTTCCCACAACTTTCGACAACGTCATGCATCAATACATTCGCTGGTACTGAAATACAAAGACAGATTGACTTGATCCTCATTGAGGAAATTTTAGATAAATTAGATAAGAAAGTGAGGTGACTTGGTTACGAATCCGATCTGTTGGAAGGGACCTTGTATGAAATATTCTATCGTGTACGATCGTCGATGAATCGAAATTTCGTCCTTTTAATATAATCGGCGTTACAAAGCACAATGGAGCAATCTGTTCCGCCTAGATATTTTTTGTGTCGGTGATTGTCGATCTTAGTAAATGTATCCCCTTACAACATAGTGCGAAATTTGTCTGTCCATTGTGCGTGAACCACTTGCAAGGTTGAAGAGAAGAAAACGCGGGTTTTAAAAATATGACGAAAGAAAGCAGTTAGAATCACCTAATTTACAAGGGAAAAGATCCGAGAGGTCAAAGAGCGTAATATGGGGGCAATCTTGTTATTTTGATTGCAACTGACGAGCTTTCTGGGGAAAAGTAGAATGGCGAATCGAGGAAATTGCGTTGAAAATTCTAACAATAACGAAAAGAACTGTGTATAAGAAAAACGAAGAAAATAAGGAAGAATTTCATAATAATTCAATCATTTAACTAAAAAATACTCGAAAATACTTGAACACTTAAATTCGATAATTGTCTGGCTGAGAGAATCAGAATAGTATACGTCAGTTCGCTGATAGTTCTTATAATATTGTATTCTACGTTTATATATTTGCGTTTATAATCATGTTACAACTGTTTTTCGTACTTCTATAAATTATTCCTTCTAACAGCTCAAATTCTCCAAACTTTGACTTAACGTCACTGTGATTTTCAGCCAGTTGCGAGGCTACCAATGCTACTGTGACTCTGTGCACAGGTTCGTCATGGATCTGCGCGTATCACCTCTTCCCAGAATACAGCTCGATTTACTTAAAATCGAAAGACAAACGATGGCTTTTAGAGAAAGAGATCCGCTACTCGTGGCGAGATAGAAAAGCTAGCAGAGAAAAGATTTCTGGTCTATGCAAAGGGAGTGAAGAGCGGGCAGAGACATTACGGAGCTAATTTGGAGAAGAAAAAAAGGGGGAAAGGTCGTGGATGGAGCGGGATGATTCGTTGCACGAACGAGGAGGAAGAGAGAAAAGAAAGTGGAGAAAGAGGAGGTAGAGCAGGGTCGGCGGGGTGACAGGAGAAGACACGACGAGTAACAAGAGATCGTGGAATGGAGCAAGAGTGGAGTAATCAATACGCATTCACACGCGGTGGCTAGCATCCCGTTTCCATGGAGACCGACGCTGGCGCATGTGCAATTTAACCAACCAACCTCATATCGTCATAGAAATTTATTCAGACACAATTCTACCCCTGTACAGCGCGGAGCTACTAACCAACAATCTTCGAATCTCCTTAAATCATCCCTACGATACATATTATAATCCACGTGCATCTATGTACGCTTGCACTAAAAACAAAATGTACAGCGATCCGAATGTTCGCCAATTTGAATCTTCTTCGACTATAGTTTCCAGCGAAACGTATCGGCGTTCGTTAGGGCGACGTGCACAACCTTGAGAAGTCTGAGTTGAACACCGTGCGAATAGAATTTTCTTATTTATTCCCGTATTACAACACCCACAAGCAGGAAACAAATTTCGCTCCTCTTTTTGGTAGAGACTTTAAGAAGGCAGGTGATACTGTACGACTGTCCTCTTGATGACGCTCATGCTTGTGTATCGTTGCCACCGTGGAATACAGTAAAAGCGTTCGACACTCGGATGTTCACCCCCTGGCCGAGTCAGAGGGGATGGAAGCGTTGGAGTTTGCGGGTAACAGGGGGTGGTTTTCCTATAGGCGCCTGC